GGGAGGGAGGGAGGGAAAAGAAAAATAAAACACATGCTCACACAGAAAGCTGTACCCACTGCTAAACATGCCCAGCAACCTTACTCCTAATAGCACAAGCAGAAACTACTCAAATGTGCTTTGGCTGGACAGCAGACAAACGAAGTGGTTCTGCAGGCAGCTTGCCTGGCCCTGAAGGCATCTGCTCAATAGAAAAGCCCAGTCTCCAAAAGCTACACTAGTATCATTCTGTCCACTCAACATTTTCAAAACGAGCACACAAGTGGTGACCCTGGAGGGGCAGCACCAAAAAGAGCTACCTAGGACAGAGCCCTCGTATACAAGAAAGAGGGCAGAAATGGCCACACATCTGCAAGCGGGACATCACAGGATTCCAGGCACATCAAACAAATGGCACAGATAAGGTTGCAAGTGCAACTTGATGGGCACCCTGGCTTGACCCCACCAAGGCAAGCGGAGTACAAAGAATAGGGAAACACACATGGCAATCCCCCGGCTGCAGTAGTCACACCTGCACCTTCATTTCCACGTGCACAGAAGTCCTCCTGGAGTCTCAGCAGATGCTTCTACCCCCTGTACCAGTGTTTTCCAGCAAGCTCTGTGCAGGGATAGCAAGAAAACCAGAAAAGGAGCAGCAGGGTGCAGCCCCAAGGAGTGCCACCCTCAAGTCATGACACAGGCTGCCTTTAGCTTTGTACCTGCCTAGGCTCAGGCCCCAGGACAACACTGTTCCCCTCAATCCTCTGACACCTACTTCCTCTGACCATACCAAAGCAGAAAGATGGCTGGAAGCTCTGCAGCCACTCAGGCCAAGAGTACTTCAGAAACTGCCATGCTTTGCAAACCAAACATGGTAGCTACAGTGTCCAAAGCCAATGCCACTGCCACGGCAAAGCAACACCAAGGTCCAGCTTCAGTGTGCTGAGCAGGCACTTCTGGGGCTCCTGACAAAAACAACAGACATGACTTAAACAAGAGGTGACACTAGGGACTCCGGGAGATAGCTCAGCAGCATAAGCACCTGCCTGGCAACCACAAGGAGCAAGGTCCCAAGTTCGATCCCCAGGACCACCAAAATAAAAACAAAAAATAGAAAGAGGGAACACCAGACAAATCCACACCAAGGGATATTCTACAGAGGAACTGAAAACAGTATCTATGCTCCGCAAAGACAGAAATATCATGGATGAGAAAGACTGAAGAAATGGAACAAAGTAAAGGAGATGGAAGAGACGGGAAAGGTCAGCACAATACGTGATCCTACTCAGGAGGTTTTCTTTGGAAGTGAATAAAGCTGGAGGCAGGCTGGTGGTGGTGGATAGATGCTGGTTACCAGGGCTGCAGTTACAAAGTGAATGTGTGTTAGAAAATACACACAGAAATACTTGAGCTAAAAATGCATTGTGTATAGTTGCCTTTGAGAGAGGAGTGTACACATGTAGTACATTAGTAGCTGGGAAATTTGGGGAAATGGAAATGTTCTGCACTGGTTTTGCAATTCTTTAAAGCAATCTGTAAAGAAAGAACCATGCATACTTTCACAAAGTCTGAGATAAGGCTGCAGGAGCTGGGCACGTGTTGGCTGGGGCTGGGGCTGTGCTGGGTGTAGACACAGGGAACAGCAGAGACATTCAGTTTGCAGGTAACAGCCTCTCAGAGTTCACAGCAGGCAGTGTTCCAGACCCACACCATCACCATCACTGCCGCCAGAGAAGCTGTTTTCAGTAACACCAAACTCGAAGGACAGTGATATGGGACACCTGACACAGAAGAAATGCCGCCCCAATGCGACTCCTGGTTCCTAATTTGTTCCAGGGGGCACCTGTACCCTTAACTGCCAGCAGGAAAATGGCAGGAAGTATGGCCCGAGATCTGGGGAACAAGGCAGGAACCTCTTGGGACTCCTGTGCCCTTCTGGCAGTCAGGACCACGGAGGTCTTAAGCCACAAACCATGGTTAGGGATGGCTCCACGGAAGAGCCCATGCCTGGTAGGCAGGAGGCCCTGGTTTTTTAATCCCTGGCACCAGCATTCAAAAATAAGACAAACCATCCCATCAACAGGGCCCAAGCAGGACCCAAGCAGCCTGCTTGTTTGTTCCAATGCTACACTCTGCATTATGGCTTTTTTTTCTAGCAGAAAACCCACCCCACGGCTCCACAGTAACACTCAGCAGAACAAAGTCTCCATACCCTGCTCCTCTGTATGGCACAGCATGTCCCCAGGAAGCACAGGCCAGTCTGCCGATGTCACGAGCTGCCCTTTCTCCACTTTTGGAAGCCTCAATTCAGGCCTCCAAA